TGCTAGAAACAGGTGGGCCTAATTTCGACATTCTAACATTCATTATACTAATCGAGCACGTTAGAAACAGGTGGGCCTAATTTCGACATTCTAACATTCATTATACTAATAGATCATGCTAGAAACAGGTGGGCCTAATTTCGACATTCTAACATTCATTATACTAATAGATCATGCTAGAAACAGGTGGGCCTAATTTCGACATTCTAATATTCATTATGAGCGACGTTAATTTTTAAGATTGAAAGTACAGCTACACGAAGGTGTTAATTTGTTGTTGTTGTTTTTTTGTTGTTGTTGTTGATTTTCGCGCAAAGCTACTCGAGGGCTATCTGAGCTAGCCGTCCCTAATTTTGAAGTGAAAGGCCAAATCTTGAGCTGTTCTTTGAGATTGACCGTTACTACATACCACCCCCCTCCACGGCTGAAAGGGCGAATACTTCGGTGTTGGGATTCGAACCTTCGATCTACAGGCTGCAAGTCGAGTATTTTTACCCCCATGACATGCCAGGCCTAAAGGATTTAATATGGAGATGAAACAAATAGAGATTTTAAAAAATTTTACACTCATTATAAACGTAGAAATATAAATTAAATAAATAAACAGAAATTTCTATGCGTTGTTTGACGTTTATTCGTTGTACGCTTCGACTCCAGTGCTGGAGTCTTCATCAGGCACAATTTTCGTTAGCGTAGACCTAACTAGATTGTTGGCAGTTTAGGATAAATACAATGTATGATATGAGGCGCGATCTTCAATAGAAAGATGACATCAATTATTCAAACAGATAAACATAGCTGTTGGAAATTAATGAAAGATGACATTAATTATTCAAACAGATAAACATAGCTATTGGAAATTAATGAAAGATGACATTAATTATTCAAACAGATAAACATAGCTATTGGAAATGAGTTGACAAAATAAGATATCAACTTTCATTATGAAAATACAAGAGCAGAGTTTATTTTATGATGAACTTTTAAAGGATTCTTTCTAATGGTGTTAAGTGTAGGGCTGTACAATGGATTATCGGTACCTGTAGTTCGTATTTATCGAACTTCTGGCAACTCTTGGCTGTATGAACGGTGAATTGCTAGTAATGAAAGATATTATTAGTCGAATAAAAAGTTTTATTTCAACATAACAATCTCTTCTTTGAACTGGTCAGCGTGCGCGGGTTCATAGGTCACAGCACCTTGCTGCAAAACGCGTTACTCACTTTGAAATCGTGGATACCTTATTCGGTCAGACAAGAATAGCCCAAGAGTTGGCGGATGATGCTACTGACAAACTTCCTTCCTTCTTGTTTATAAGTTTAAAGCTAGGAACGGTTATGCACTTAAAGTCATTTGTGTAGCATTTTTGCAGAATGCTAAAAAACAAACTATTTACAAAATTTACATCGTCACGTCTGGAAAGTAATTTTGCAGAATTTTTCTGCGAGACTTAAATACTTTCAAGTTTTCTTTAGAGAAAATATTTGTTTCCTAATACTTTACACTTTTTTCTGTTTCTCTAAATAATTAAGTTTAATTGCTACAAGTTAATTAACCTTCCTGGAAAAGTTAAACAAGATTCCGCTCAACTTGTTTCAAGTTAGCTCCACTGTTACCAATCTCCTAAACTCCAAGAACATTTCGTTCCCCATGTTGTAAAGCGCGAAAACTTTGCATCTAGAAGGATACAAATTTAAAATAAAACACGCAATAAATCCACGTGATATGTTTACATGTACACCTGTTTAGATACATCTCATAGGGGGGAGGGTGCGTTTTCACACCATTTGTTCCCCCTTTTTACTTAATTTGTCAGATGATAACAACGAATATAATTTCTTTTCTTCGACAGAAGCAAAACAATGAGCATTTTACACTCCAGTTGTATCTATTCTCAGACATGGTCTTAAAATATTACATGATTTTAAAGTACAAAATTTTTCAAATTTAAAATATTACATTACTTCTTTGACATGACCTTAAATGTTTGCGGTTTATAACGTTTCATCTCCATTCTAACAACGTTGTGTCGCCTCATTGACACGGAATTCAAGTGGGTTTTCACAATAAAAACGCGTCTTTAGCTCAAATGGAGCTAAACATATTTAACCACTCATTGACACGGAATTCAAGTGGGTTTTCACAATAAAAACTCGTCTTTAGTTCAAATGGAGCTAAATAAAACATATTTAACCAGTCATTGACACGGAATTCAAGTGGGTTTTCACAATAAAAACGCGTCTTTAGCTCAAATGGAGCTTCACATAAAACGTATTTAACCATCTTCGTATTCAAACGATAACTTAAAATAATCTAAAAATAAGCGTGGAATTTGAAAATAATTTATTAAATATATGTACATATCACACCAGGGGATCAAATATCTGAACTGAGATGCTTAATATATAATTCTTTCGCCAGTTTTGTATTTTAAATCCAACCTTTCGGGTTTTTAATGTTTTGTATGGAGCAAGCCAAGCCAGGTGAGCTATTAATTTTTTCTCAGTTTTTCGCATCTTTTCACCTGCTAACTTTTTGCAAGTTATAGGTTCACATCATCCCTCAGTGTTCTACTGTTTTAAATAAATGACGACTTTTAATATCACAATGGCCTTTAAGATATTTCTTTGATATCAACAAGATTTTTGGATTGGTTTTAGATCCCCCTGAAAATATAACGCTATCTGTGGAAGAACAAGATGTTTTGGAAGGAAACATCCCAGAGAAGGTTCACTGCTCAGCTAACTCCTGGCCACCTAGCGAGTACACGTGGAAGTTTTCCAATATAATTATTGGCTCCTCTTCGCAGCTTTTCCTTAATTACTCCATTTCCCGACAGAGGGCAGGGATTTACGAATGTTTGGCTAGTAACCGACATGGTGAAGCAGTTGGGAAAACTTTCATCAATGTTTTGTGTAAGAAAGGTCTTTATATATATATATCCTTTTTATTTTTCATTATTTTTTTCAAACAAATATAAGAAAAAATTACTGCCTGTGAATAGAAACGTGCGGTAAATGTGAGGGGTTATAAAGCTAAAAGCGAGTTCTAATATAACTCATTATGTAGCTCTGCGCTTAACAACAAACAAACTCGGTGTTGCCCACACCCTTTACAGAGGTGGGAGCTTGAATATTCACCCATTTTATCTAAGTACTAGTGACAACAAGCTCACAATGAAATAATTAGTGTATAACAATTGGATTGTTGGTTTACTTTTTAAAAACTGGTCTTTCCGAAACAACTGTGATTTGTTTGTTTTGAAGCGAAGCCACACTGGGCTAGCTGCTGTGTCCGCCGCGGGGAATCAAACCCCGGATTGCCACATTCTAAGTTCGTAAACTTACCGCTGTCCCACCGGGGGGACAACTGTTGTGATGACTGGAAATTATATGGAATATTTATACAACAAAGACTACAAAGGGACTACATAAATTTTCTGGAAAAAGTAAATGACCTTAAATAAAAACTCCATTAGCTCAAGATGTGGGAATAATTTCACGATCCTTCAAAATTTAAAAGTAGGAATTTGTTAGCACTGCGGCTTTATACGGTATTTTACAGTTCAGTTAATGCTTTTTAAAGATATATAAAGTAAAAAATGTAAAGTTGATTCCTTTCTCTACAGATAAGCCAGACTGTATTGTTTACCAGGATAAAAACAAAGATGGAGACACTAGTCTAGTGTGTGAAGCACGAGCTAATCCTTCGGAGGTAAATTTCACTTGGATTAAGAACAACGAAACGTTTGAGGATTACAGTGTTGTAGAAGGAACAAAAAGCATTTTGGATTTGAGGACTTCTCTGGCTGAGCATTATGGGAAATATTATTGTGTGGTGAACAACTCAATAGGAGAGTCCGTTCCCTGTACTTTAGAACTTAAGTTTTTAGTGGGTGAGTCGAATTCTGTACTTCAACTAAATCACCAGATTTTCAGATTACGTTTCAGTTTCGTGAGATAACACGTGAAGTGATCCTGAGCAGATTTTTCTTAAATTCTGGTTTTTAATTAAGGAATAAATCAGAGATAAGTCTACCTTATTTGTTGTGTTTATTTTTGGCAACACAATGAGCTATCTGTGCTCTGTCCATCGCGGGTATCGAAACCCAGTGTTTAGCATTATAAGCCTTCAGACCACCCAGTCACCGGGGGCATCATTCCTTAAGCCTTAATATTTTATTAATGAGATATAATTATAAAATCTTACAAACATTTATAGTAAAAATCTAAACAATCAGTCCAAATATATATAAGACACTTGAAAGTCCAAATGTATCTAAGCCTTTTGCTAAATATCTTCGCCAAAAACAGTTTTCAATACAACTAACACGACACAAATTCATAAATCAGACAGTTTTGGTAGCGTTATAAGCCCTCAAACTTACCACCGAGCCTCCGATGGGCAGAGTGCAGATAGCCCAATACGTAACTTTGCGATAACGACTTCTGTTAGTTGAGAAATATTGAATGAAGTCCATATTTGGACGCTGTATAACAGATTTACAAGAATAAGTGATTTGAAAAATAAATTTTGAAGACGTAATGATGATGATGATGATATGTCATATTTCTATCTTCGGATGCAGCGGGCTGGGTACCAGATTTTTGGGATGAAAATCTCCTTATTACTGCCGCAGTTGTTGTTGCTGTTGTTATAGTATTTGGCATCATAGTCATCATTATCATCCTGATGATGAGACGACGAAGAAGAAGAACTCACGGTAAGTTTTTATTTTTTATTTCAAACGTAGTTTAAAATATGTGACTAATATCAATCTCCTTACAGTACATCTAAACCACATCTATTAATGATTTTTTACAACGCTGGACTGGACGTGACCTAGTGGTTGAATTCTCGGACTGTGAATCCGAGGGTTCGCCTCGTTACCACAAAAACACGCCTTTGGATCGATGAATGCGCTATAAGAGTAACTGTCAAATCGCACTATTCGGATGATGTTAACAAATTACTAACCTTACGTGTTTATTTTTGTTCAGGTACTTATCAGTGTTATTGCTTACAATAAAATCTGCTGTTTTTCATGCTGAATCATTTCATTCAACGTGATCCAACAAAGTCTTTGCATAAACAGTAGTTACTTGTGGTCCCGCGTTCATGGTATTTTCTGTATTCACTGAAATTGTGATTTTTCCAGCTCTGTGCGTTTTTAATTCATTGAGCCGTAGGATTGAAATCAAATTCAATGTTCTTTGAATCTGAATATTATTTCCATATTTTTTTTACAGAAACAGGAGTAATTGGATATTTTCCCAGAAGGTTTTTCTAAGGACAATCAATTCAATATTTATTCATCTGTAAAATGTCAAAAAAGGCTACGATTTTCGGCCTCAAATCAGAAGTTGTCAATCTTTTAATGAAAAGCAGTTTTTTCCCAAGTTAACACTTTATTGTAATTGTCTAATTTGCTAGATTATTGCATAAACATTAGATATTTGATAGAAATGTTGGGTAAGAAATAATATTTCAGAATGCTTGGAGGTTTTCAACAATAGATTGTATCAAAAATCACTTGTGGATGATGTATATATATATATATAAAGCTGGTAAAATCCGAATTTTTAATAATGAACAAAAAATAACCATTCTTTTTCTAAACCACGTTACTTTGTTAATAAGTACGATCAGTATGTTTTATACCGTATTTATTCTTACACTTTCGTTCGTAGTAACTTTAACTAAAACGATATCCAGAATGACGATTTCAAAATAAGGACCTCGTTGGCGTGATTAGTTTGGCTGAAAATGTGCACGTGTGAAGAGTTAGTTAAAACATGCTTATTAAAATGTTTTTAAGGACGCTAATCTTGTAACTTGTGTTTTTGAAAAGAGAATGCCCGAAAAATAAGCGTGATTTTAATTGTTGGTTCGTTCGAATACGATCTCTTATCATTTATAAGTAGTTACATCAGAATCCATCTAGTGGACGTCGTTAGATAAATTATTATTATTTATGTTAGGGCTTCATAGATGAAGCTATACGTGGACTGGCTAAGTATTTGATAAATATTTCCTCAAAAAAACTCTTACAGATTTGATGTGTGAGACAAAGCAGGTACTTATTCTGTTATTCCCAAAAGGTTTCACCATGTTTCTCTCTTGTATTCGTTCGGCGCATGTGTCATACAAGTAAATAGCAGATAACCGGCTTTCGTATTTCTGAACTTTCTCACGGAAGATGTCTCTTGATAATTTGTGAAATGTTTAGTAATGTGTGAGGTTTAGGAATACCTGAAGGTTGTCTTTTCTACTTTTACCAATGGAAATGTGAAGATAAGTGAATTCAGGGAGAGTTGACGTTATTGTAACACTTATAACACTGATTAATTGTTTCAGTCTTTTTCATAACTTTTCTTTGAAATTTCTCTCTCTCTCCTTCTCCAATTAGAGAGAGAAAATTTCTGTTCATCGTCTAACTTTTTAGTCCCGATTAAGTTATACCTCGTGGTCGTTGAGTAAATACACTCAAATCGAACCCCTTAACACATATTCTTCCAAACCTCCAGTTAGAACTGAAGTTTCTCTCACTTTAAAGCACCTAAGATTATCACACAATATCAACATTATCAGTCTAAATTTAACTGATTTATGTTGTAAGTACCATTATTAATAAACATTCTCTATCGAAGTATATTCTTAAAGTATGCTGAACAACACTGTTGACTAGTTAACAACACTGTTGACTAGTTTCATTCTCTATCGAAGCATATTCTTAAAGTATGCTGAACACCACTGTTGACTAGTTAACGCCACTGTTGACTAGTTAACAACACTGTTGACTAGTTTCATTCTCTATCGAAGCATATTCTTAAAGTATGCTGAACAACACTGTTGACTAGTTAACGCCACTGTTGACTAGTTAACAACACTGTTGACTAGTTTCATTCTCTATCGAAGCATATTCTTAAAGTATGCTGAACACCACTGTTGACTAGTTAACGCCACTGTTGACTAGTTAACAACACTGTTGACTAGTTTCATTCTCTATCGAAGCATATTCTTAAAGTATGCTGTTGACTAGTTAACAACACTGTTGACTAATTTCATTCTCTATCGAAGCATATTCTTAAAGTATGCTGAACACCACTGTTGACTAGTTAACGCCACTGTTGACTAGTTAACAACACTGTTGACTAATTTCATTCTCTATCGAAGCATATTCTTAAAGTATGCTGTTGACTAGTTAACACCACTGTTGACTAGTTAACACCACTGTTGACTAGTTAACACCACTGTTGACTAGTTAACAACACTGTTGACTAGTTAACAACACTGTTGACTAGTTAACACCACTGTTGACTAGTTAACAACACTGTTGACTAGTTAACACCACTGTTGACTAGTTAACAACACTGTTGACTAGTTTCATTCTCTATCGAAGCATATTCTTAAAGTATGCTGAACAACACTGTTGACTAGTTAACAACACTGTTGATTTGTTTCATTAAAATGGGCGCGATTTGGCCCTGTGGTAGATCTTTGGATTATAAAGAACTGGTGATCAGGATTCGAGCCCGTGCGATACCCGATACCAAAAAACAAAACAAAAAGATTTGGGTGCATTATAGGGGTGAGAGTCAATCCATTAACGTGTATAGTTTCGTTCTGCTGACTGGCTGCTTTCTTTTTGGCCAGTAGTTCAAAATTCGAGGTAACTGAAGATGGGCTTAATCGTTTTGCTATAAATACAAAACTCATAAATTCCACTAAACCCTATTTATATATGATTTAAGTATTATACTTGTGAAACGATTGTGGTGTTTAAGATAACAGCAGAAATAAATCACGTGATATTTGCAGAAGATCCGAAAAAAACACATTGAGTAAGGAAGCTTCATTATATTAACAGCATCAGAAATTATAGGATCGGATACTTGCATGTGTCCGGGGAAACCTTCTGGTCACGCACTGCTTAACACACTATCTGTAGCATCTCGCTTGTTACTAGATCAATGAGACTCGTCTATCTCTACACAACAAAAACCATTCCTTTCCAACTGGCAGCAGAGAAATAAGAACGACACTTCTCTAAAATCTCATCCAGCAGAAGAGTGATGCGTTTCGTGTCAAATTAATGAGCCAGGTTTACAAAATTGGTTTGGTTAGACATATAAATATGGCGTATCCGAAGCATTTCTCCAAAATCTCTTTTTTTTTTGTTATAAACTAATAGTAAACTTTTTCTCTCTCTCTCCAAAACAGTAGAGATTCCGGCGTTACTTATGGATAGCATGTTCGGACTGAAAATTCAAGGATTCACCTTTTATAGTCTCGTTTCTGCAAAAACGCCCTCCGCACCTTGTACAGTGGGTGCGCTTTAGAAATGAAAATTAAATTCTATTATTGTGTATGCAGTTTTGCAATTTGGAATGCACCCTAGAGGGATTTGGACATTTTGAAAATAAATTTAGACCTTTACTCTTCAGATAATAAAATAAATCTATTTATTGCAGTCAGCGTTTCGCCATTTCGGCTTCATCAAGAGTTCTTGTAGTACTTGGCTTGATGAAGGCGATACGTTAGTCCGTAAGCATTTGTATATCTATCAAGATTATATGCCGACGTCCCTAATATTGAACTACTAATCAGAAGGGAGACAACCAGTCCCTAATATTGAACTACTAATCAGAAGGGATACAACCAGTCCCTAATATTGAACTACTGACCAGAAGGGAGACAACCAGTCCCTAATTTTGAACTATTAACCAAAAGGGAGACAACCAGTCCCTAATATTGAACTATTGACCAGAAGGGAGATAACCAGTTCCTAATATAGAACTATTGACCAGAAGGGAGACAACCAGTCCCTAATATTGAACTATTGACCAGAAGGGAGATAACCA